CTCTCCTCTGATACTACCAGTACTCTTGTGTAGCTCCTCATTACCTCATGCCTTGATTATTAAGGTAGCCTGCTGGTGGGTCTGCCTGCCTCAAGTCTCTCCCACTTCAGTCCATCTTCCATTCAGCTACTAAAGTGATTTTCCTAACATGTAGGCCTGATCATGTCATCCCCTATCAGTGGCTCCCTATCGCCTTTAGGATCAAATACAAAATTCTTTGTTTGTCATTCAAAGCCCTTCATAACCTAGCCCTCCCCCCTCCCACCTTTCTAGTCTTCTTATACCTTACTCCCTGAAACGTACTCTCTGATCCAGGGACACTGGCCTCTTATCTGTTCCATGAGCAAGACACTCCATCTCTTAGCTCTGGGCATTTTCCCTGGCTGTCCCTCAAGCCTGGATTGCTCTCCCTCCTACACACTGACTGTTGACCTCCTTGGCCTCCTTTAAGTTCCAACTAAAATAACATCTTCTACAGGAATCCTTTCCCAGCCATTTTTATTAATTCTAACACCTGTCCTCTGTTAATTATTTCCTATTTATCCTACATTTATCTTGTTTTGTGCATATTGTTTCCATGTTGTCTCCCCTATTAGATTGTAAGCTTCTTGAGGGCAAGGACTGTCTTTTGCCTCTTTTTGTATCCCCAGCACTTAGCATAGTGCCTGACACATAATAGTGCTTAGTAAATGTTTATTAATTGATTGCCCTATCCTATTCTAGGCCCTAGCTGTTTCATAATCTGTCCCTTCTTATGACCAGTTAAATTCCAATTCACATATGTTCCTGTAAACCATGTCTTAAAACATATGTGAAAACCTTGGTTGAAGGTATGCTGTGTCTTACAACCATGCTGATGCCTTTTTCTGCTCTGTTTGGACGTAGAAAATACACAATGGGTAGGTAAAGGTGTCAAGAAATGAAACATATACCTTTATGCTTCAGCATCAAATAAGCAGAATGATTAAAATTATGTGATAAAATGATAAAGTCCCCTGGGAAAGGGGACTCTAGATAGTGATTAATCAGACTGAATCCCTACTAGCTTGGCAGGAGACTCAGAAGACTCCACTCCAGAACAAGAAGGTAGGTGGTTTGGTAGGTTAAAGATATCTATCTCATTGAGCTTCTGTGTTAATCTAAAGAAACAAATATTACATAAAGGTCCAATGAACTTTTCTATCCTGACACTACCTCTGTGATCAACAGATTGCTTAAACTCTCTATGCCTTAGTTTCTTTATCTGTAAAATGAAGAGGTTAGAATCAGGAACCACTAAATTCCCTTCCAGCTCTAATCTATGTTGATATGAAGTTATAAGTCAAATGAATAAGAGAACAGTAAATTTTTTCTAGTACTTCTAAGAACTGCACATCCCTGTCCCCAACCGATCTTTTGTAAAATAAATTGTTTAGATTCTAGACATCTTTGTAGAAATCTCTTTCCCTGTATCATATTTTTGTTATTCTGACCTTATAGGGCCTGTAAATGCTATTGAATAGAAGGTGGCCTGTCTGGTGTTAACAGTGCTGAATGTAAAGTCTCAGTATATGCTGTCGAAAGAGTTCTGTGACCTTCTTGTATTGGTTTATTCTATGATATTGGGAGGAGTGAAGGCCACACTAGCTCATGTTCACTGTTCCATTCCTGTGACATCATTAAGATATGTTTGGAGCTGCCTTTTGAGTTTCTATTATATTAAAATTGGCCTGACCTTCAGGGCTGTGGGAAACAAAGGACAAAGTCTGCTAGGTCAAGCAGCCTGGTAGTTTTGTTTTATTATTTGTTTGAAACCATAATTCAACAAAAACTGTATTCCGTAAAGGAAATTCAAGCAAAAGATATAGACTGTGTAAGTAACTGGAGACTAAGTAACTTCCTGAATAATGAGTAATGAGTAGGTCAAAGAGTAAATCATAGAGACAGTAAATTATTTTAAAGATCACGAGAATAATATGCATTGATGGGGCTATGGGAAAATAGACAGACCACTATACTCTTTCTGGAGCTATGAGTTCTTTTAAGCATTCTGGAAAACAGTTTGAGATTTTGTGAGTGAAGTCATTAAACTGTTCATATTCTTTGTCTCAGCAATCCCACTATAGTACATATATACTACAAGGAGGTCAAAGAGAATAACTTTTTATATACTAAAATATGCATAGCAGCATTTTTTTATGGTAGAAAAAACCTGGGAACAAAGTAGTAAGTAGTCACTGAGGGGGAATGGTTAAACAAATTATGTGGTACGTAATTGTAATGGAATATTATTGCGCCATAACAAATTTGAATACGAGAAATTCAGAGAAACATGAGAAGACTAGGGATTGAGACAAAGTAAAGTGGGCACAATTACACAAAATGATTACAGTACTGTAAATCAAAATAACACTAACAGGCAGACTGACTCTGATTGTCATGACATTTTTCTCCTATGGAACAAATACTAAGGTGCACCTCCCAGTTCTTGGGGGAGGGATGGAGGTGGGAGTGTGTAGGGGGCTTGCAGCATTGGATTCACTCTCTCAAGCAGTCACTTTGTTGCTTAGTTTTATTTGATTATTTTTCTTTGTTTAGTGGTGGAGATGTTAGTTTCCTGTAATGTAGGGACAGAAGGCATACATAAAAAAAATTTTTTTTAAAGAAATAGATCATTATTATACCCTTGCATATCAGAAATGTCATATAAAGTCTGTACCTGAGAACTAGGCATGAGAATTAGAGGTTTGTAATCTTAAAGTCCTTGACTGTGCTTTCTTTAGAAAATCCAAGTAAACTTGGTGAAATTAGGTAACTAATTATAAGAGTTAGGTCCATCTAGCTTTACAGGTCCTATATGAAATTTATAAAGGTAATAAATTTGAGAAACAATGGAATCTATCCCTATAGGTTGGGATTACAGGAAAGGGGCTAAAGGACTGGCTTGTCTATCCCAAGAGAATATAAACTTGAATAAGGATCATTTTATACTTTTTACATGTATCCTTATTGCCTACCCCAATTCCTGACACATGACAGTGGTTAATAAATGCTTGTTGATTGATCTGAGAAACTTTTGAAAGAAATTGAGGATGTTTAGTGTGTCTAAGAGGAGTGGCATATATTTGACAGTCAGACAATATAGGCAATACAGTGGAAGAGTGTAGTCATTCTTTATTTTAATCTCCCATATCTCTCTTCATTTTAAATGAGGACTCTCTTATAGTAATGTGGAGGGATATGGAAAACAATGTAGGAGAGAAGAAAGGCACTCTGATGGGTTGGTTAGGAATTAGGTGAATAAAAGATACATTGTAGACATAGCTGATTTATAGAACTGGTTGGTGAAGTTACAGACACCAGAGAACGTGTTCAGTGATCAGAGATTTGTGCAGTTTGACTAAAATTAAAAGTTTTTGTATTTTGGAGGGGCGGGGAGATAATATCAAATAATGCTGGAAAGGCAAGGTAGTAGCAGACTCTTGTGGGAGTTGAATGCCAAGCAAAGAAGCATGAACTTTATTTGGTGGGCACCAGGCAGCCACTGATGATTTTTGAGCAGAGAAGTGATACCATCAGATTTAAGTAGTAATAATAGCACCAAATCTATGTATAAGAAAGATTCACAGACACTCATTCTGCCATGTTTTGTCGATTGCCATCTTATGTTGTACTCTCAATACTGGAAAATGTCAGCCACAGATGATCCTTGCCCTTGCTTTCACTCTTCTATCTTTTTTTTTTTTTTACATTCGCCAGTTCCCTTGCCTGATAGAATCCCTTATAACTGGGTAAAAGATAAACAACGTGTTTTTTTGCATGTTAAGAAATTTTACTAAGTTTTATAGTAGAGCCAAAACTAATAGTTAAACAAGTTTTTAAATATTTGTGGATTTAACTTTTTTTTTTTTTGCTGAGGCAATTGGGGTTAAGTGACTTGCCCAGGGTCATACAGCTAGTAAGTGTCAAGTGTTTGGTCTGAGGCTGGATTTGAACTCAGGTCCTCCTGACTTCAGGGCCGGTGCTCTATTCACTGCCCCACCTAGCTGCCCCAGGATTTAACTTCTAATCATGGACATAGGACTGAATTTCTGCTTAGAGAACTTTAGTTCACATCTTGGCTCTGGCCCTGTTTGTGTGACCTTGAACAAGTCACTTTATATTTCTAGGCCTCATTGTTCTCGTCTGTAAAATGAAGCAGTTGGACTATATGACTTCTGAGGTCCCTTCTCGGTCTATGTTATAATCTTATGAGCCCAATATTTTGAGGTTCATAATGCCTTCCTTATGTCATGTCATAGCTAGGAGGCACTTGGCCCATAACATCCAGTAGAGGAAAGTAAGATTTATAGATTAGGAAATTGAAGTTAAAGTTAAGTAACTTGATCAAGATGATAGTTATTGCAAGGGGCTGGGATGAATGTATTTTAGGTTTCTTTCCTATCCATTAACTATTTTTTTCTCTTAGAAGAAGCTGTCTAGGGGCAGGTAGGTGGTGCAGTAGATAGAGCACCAGCCCTGGAGTCTGGAAGACCTGAGTTCAAATCTGGCCTCAGACACATAACATTCACTAGCTGTGTGACCCTGGGCAAGTCACTTAACCCCCGTTGCCTCGAAAAAAAAAAAAAAAAGAAGAAGAAGCTGTCTGTCCCTATTAGACTTAAGTTGTCTGTGATGTTATATAACTTATGAAGATAAATACATGCTTTTGACTTATCCTAAAGAAGTAATTATTTTATTATTTTTAATAGAAATTGACATTTAAAAATTTTTATATCACCTACATTTCCTTTTTTTCCTCTTTTTTTATTCTGAACTTAAAAAACACTAAGCATAATTAGCATTTCCATGTATGCTGTAAAACAGGAAACAGTTATATGTGAAACTGAATCTCTATTATGTATCGCTTGCTTTTCTTTTTAATTATATAAAAAGTTCAGCACAGAACTTTGGATGCAGTCCTGTTTATTTGTGATTGCTTCTGGCATGAAATCATGATTTTGAATTGATTTTTTTCTTAGGCATTGCTGGAGACCATATTTCGTGTAAAAGTGATTATAACAGGCGATGCCTTTGTTCCTGGGGAAAGAAGTGTTATTATTATGAACCACCGGACAAGAATGGATTGGATGTTTCTGTGGAATTGCCTGCTGCGATATAGCTACCTCAGACTAGAGAAAATCTGCCTCAAATCCAGTCTCAAAAGTGTTCCTGGTTTTGGTAAGTTGTTCACATATTTTGTTAAAATAAATAATGCATGGATGCAAATATATAATAATATTCTCACATGATAACTTCACTTGATAGCAAGTTCCATTTAGGCCTCAAGACCTTTTCCATTTTCCCTGACTAATGCAAAAGTATTTTTAAAGACACTTTCCATAGCATATCTTGGCTAGAAAATAGCTTTTTATTGTCCTTTAAAGAAATGTTTAAACAGTGACAGAGTAAAGGTTCTACAGTTTGCCAGGTTTCAAGTGGTTGCTTGGGTGACCAGTATTGTATAGAATATCAATCAACCATGCTTTAACTACTTTCTGCATTTCCATTTGTATAATAGGTTGGCCAGAAACTAGTCTAGGCTGATAAAAGCCCTTAAAATCTACTATAATAATATAAAATAAGTAGTCTTTAGCAAGTATAAACTGAATGTCAAGTGTATTTTAGAATTGTTTTTGTTTTATTTTATACAATGTTTCTGCTTTAGTCTGTACACTGTATTTTAGTACCCTAAATCATACCATTCTAGGAATGTTCATAGAAAACACTTTTTGTTTTACTTCAGGAAAGTAGGACCATCGCAACACTGGATATTAAGTGGAGCCCTTTTTTTTTTTTTTTTTAAGATGGGGAGGTACTTAAAAGCAATAAGTTTGAAAAGCAAACAAAAAGTACCAAATACAGCAATTGCTATATGCTACAATCTTTATCATTCTCTACTTGTCTTACCTTTATATTCCCACTGTTCAATTCCATTCTGAAGATTTTGCTCCTAAAGCAAACCATGCATGGCCCTGTTAATAGTGAACTGAAATTTTGGTTAATGTTTTGAGGACTCTGTTAGGCCAGATGCCATCTTCCTAGTTGATAAAGAAACTTTTCTATAGAGATGTGTTCTAGTAGTTTTCTCCAGGTTTTCTGTATTATTTCTCCTGTCATCACTTGGGTTGGAAGGCAGAAGTGAGTTTTGCCCTTGCATTTTGTTAATGGGAAGAAAAGAGTTGCATTTCCATGAGCACATTGTTATTGATAAACCCTTTGTTTTTCAGTTTATTAATTTTGTTACTATTGTGATTAATCACAGGCATGGATGGATTTAATCTGTAGTTGTAGAGGGAGTGTTCACATCTTTGAGATCGTGAATTCATTGAAGTATCCATTATCTAACATTCACTTCAGATCTGGGCCACTATTAATGTACACAGATAAATTAACGTATGCATCACATGTAACAGGTCCACATTCTCTCCCTCTTCTGTTCCCCACATTGAAAAACAAGAAAAGCAAGACCCCTGTTACAATTATACAATCAAGCAAAACAAATTCTCTCATTCGAAATGTTCAAAAAAACAAAAAACAAACCAAAAACGCCTCAGTATGTGAGTCTATCACTTTACCATCTAAAGGTGGAAAGCATTTCATCATGAATCCTCTGGAATTGTGGTTTGTTCTTGTGTTGATCAGAGTTCCTCAGTCTTTCAAAGTTGTTTGTCTTTGCCATATTGCTACAATAAAAGTTGTTCTTCTGGTTCTGCTCACTTCACTTTGCATCAGTTCATATGAATCTTCCCAGGTTTTTCTGAAGCCTCTTCATCATTTCTTATGGCACAGTAGTATTCCATTGCAACCATACCACAACTTGTTCAGCTATTCCCCAATTGATGGATATCCCTTCAGTTTCCAATTCTTTGCTAACACAAAAAGAGCTGCTATAAATATTTGTGTGCATATGGGTCCTTTTCTTCTTTCTTTGATCTCTTTGTGACGTGAATCCTGTAGTGGTTCAGTTGGCTCAAAGGGTACACACAGTTGAATAGTTTTTTTGGGCATAGTTCCAAATTGATTTCCAGAATTCATGGACCAGATTATAGTTTCACCAATAAATATTCAACATGTTAATGAAAGCAATGAGTACACAGTCTTAGCTCCTAGATTTGTAAATAGAATCTCATCAATTTATACAGCATATTTGGGTTTCTTGTCCCACAGTGTGTTCTGAAATGACAAAGAACAACATTTATTGAGGAAGCTATATAGAATAACTCTTCAATTACCATAAAACACACTGTATATAATTCTGGTCAGCCTTTTTGTACTGAATAACCATCACTGAGAGACTCAGATAAAGGTATATAACTAAGCATACCCCCCAGCATCACTGTTGTGAAATACAAACTCATGTCCTACTGACAGTGAAATTTTTGAATGTTAAAAATTTTTTGCAAATTGCCCAGAATATTGATCAATGTAGGGGTCCTCACACTTTCTGGCAGCTTTCATGATACATGAGTAACCTTAGGAACACACTGCATACCTAGAAGAAAGACTTAAAAGGTATGTTAACTTCTTCAGACTTTTCCAAATGAGGTTTGTTGATATTGTATCTCTGGTGCCATAATTTTAAAAATAGGAATGCCATTTTATGCTCCATGGTGATAGAAAACCAAACCACCAAACCTAAAATAGAATTGCATGAGCAGCCCAGATATGGCATTATTACTAAAGCACTGTTATGAAAAAAGAACTGAATTAGAGTTAGAAGATTTGGGGATGATTTCTAGCTCCTCCCGTTATTGCCCTTATTGGTGGCCAACTTACTTTTTCCTCTCTAAGCCTTATTTTCCTTATATATAACATACGTGCTTTGGACTAGAGGTTACTTTAAGATCCCTTCCAAATCCAAGTGAGCTGTGATCTTCTTACTTGAAATACTATCTGATACTGTCATTAGCACCACAAGATTCACATCACAAAGAGATCGAAGAAAGAAGTTTTAATTGTGGAAGGGAAGTCTCTAGTAGGAAAACCTATCTATTTTGTGCAGACATTTTTATTATTTCTGACTTAGGTGAGGCACAGATGGCATACCTATCACAATTGCAGATGACAGAAAGGTAGGAGTAGAGATAAGTAATTCAGGATGACAGCATCTAATAAAAGCTAAGCAGGCTAGACCAGTAGGTTGAATCTAATCCAATGACATTTAATAGGGACAAATGCTTAAAATCTTACCTTTGGGTTTAAAAAAGTCAGCTTCACAGGTACCAGGAGGGAGAGGCATGGCGAGACAGCTGTTCAGTTGAAGCAGACCTGTGCTGGTTTAGTGTGTGTGTATGTATACACGTGTGTGTGCACATGTATATGCATGTGTGTGTGAATTGTGAGATCAAAGCTAATGATATCTCAGACTGCATTGAGAGCAGAACAAAGGTGGTAGTCCTAATGTATTCTGTCCCCAGTAGACTACATCTGGAGCATTTTGTTCAGTTCTAGAAGACACATTTTAGGAAAGACATTGATAACACCAGAGTATCCAAAGGAAGTTAACCAGGATGACAAAGGGAACTTGATTCATTCCATTTAAGTATAGGTTAAAGGAGCATTAAAAAAAAATAAATTTTTTTTCTTTTAAAACTTTTACTCCACCCTAATTTAACAATATCAACAAAACCTCAAAAAGCAATATATAACAATATATATATATTTCAAAATAATATTTTTATTAAACATATAATGTTTAAATAATGCTATCTGGATAATATGTTAATATATTAAAATTTACATGTAACATAGAATTCATGAACATGCAAAGGTGAGCAAAACAAATTCCCACATTAATTACATTACTTCTCTGCCAGAACGTGAGTGGCATGTTTCATCTTCAGTCTTCTGGATTCATGGTTTATCATTGCATTGATCAGAGTTTGAGAGTCTTTCAAAGTTGTTTCTCCTTTTTAATGTTGTTGTCATTATATAAATTGTTCTAGCTCTGCTCACTTTGTTCTGCATTGGTTTTAGAAGTCTTCTCAGTTTCCTCTGAAATTATCCAATTCATTGTTTCTTATAGCATAGTAATATTACATTTATAGGCCATATTTTGCTTAACCATTGCACAACTGACTCCCTTTTAGTCTTTGATTTATTTACCTTTCTGTTTTCTCTCTTTCGTGTGGTTGTTGATACCTTGAATTTATTCCTTTGAAAATTGCCTGTTTGTTGGGGACAGCTAGGCGTAGTGGATAGAGCACCGGCCCTGGATTCAGAAGGACTAGAGTTCAAATCTGGTCTCAGACACATAACACTTACTAGCTGTGTGACCCTGGGCAAGTCACTTAACCCCCATTGCCAAAAAAAAAAAAGAAAATTGTCTGTTTGGAAAGGATGTCCCTAATCACTACTGTTGTTCAATATCGTACTGGAAATGTTAGCTTTAACAATATGAGAAGAAAAAGAAATTGAAGGTAATAGAATAGGCAAAGAAGAAACAAAGCTATCACTTTTTGTAGATGATATGATGATATACTTAGAGAATCCTAGAGAATCAAGTAAAAAACTACTTGAAATAATAAACAACTTTAACAAAATTGCAGGCTATAACATAAACCCACGTAAATCATTAGCATTTCTATATATTACCAACAAAGCCCAACAACAAGAGATAGAAAGAGAAATTCCATTTAAAGTTACTGTAGACATTGTAAAATATTTAGGAGTCTACCTACTGAAACAAACCCAGGAACTAAATGAACACAATTACAAACCACTTTTCACACAGACAAAGTCAGCTGGAAAAACATCAGTTGCTCATGGGTAAGCCAAGCTAATATAATAAAAATGACAATTCTACCTAAGCTAATTAATTATTCAGTGCCATACCAATCAAACTACCAAAAAATTATTTTATAGAGTTAGAAAAAATAACTAGATTCATTTGGAATAACAAAAGGTCTAGAATATCAAGGAAACTAATGAAAAGAAATACAGGGGAAGGTGGCCTAGCCATTCCAGATCTTAAATTGTATGATAAAGCAGCAACCATTGAAACTACTTGATACTGGCTAAGAAATAGAGTGATGAATCAATGGAATAGGTTAAGTATGCAAGACACAGTAGTCAATGACTATAGTAATCTATTATTTGATAAACCCAAAGACCCCAGCTTCTGGGATAAGAACCCACTCTTTGACAAAAACTGCTGGGAAAACTGTAAAAGAGTATGG